GTGTCTAATTATTTTGCCTTTCATCTTTTCAAGAAAAAGTATTGAAAAAAAAAGAAAAAGATACTGGCCCATTTACAACATTATGACTACATCCTAAATTTCACCCCTAGAGTTATAAGTTTATAACATTATACTGAACCGGATTCCTATTTTACCATTTATATTTAATTAATTATTACTACGAGGTGAAATTCAGTAACTTTTTTTTTAGAACGGAGCACGATGTGGGACCCCTTTTCGCCTGCTTGAATTCCGGTGATTGTAAATCGGAGGTGTTCCCGGAGAGAAATTGAAACCAGCTTCGTCGCCGGAGCTCGAAGACCGTTGATCGCCACCTAGACCAAAGTCATCGAATCTAACGGTGGAGATTGAGAGACCACTCATCAGACGGTTAAAAGCATTGGTCTTACGCATCTTAGTCGGTGTAGTCGCCTCATCTGATTCCGACCCACCTTGATACTCTCTCCCATGCTTCCCTTTCAAAGAGAAGGTTAGACTTTGATCCCCTCTCTTCATTCCCCCAAGCTGCAAAACAGTAAAAAAAAAGACAATATCGTCATTAACATTCCAAAAACAGAGCATTTTTTTCCAGACACAAAAACAGAGGAAGAAAACAGAGCCTAACCTTGCAACCGAGAGAGCAGAAGCGGAAAGAATCAAGGAGGCTTCTGCAACAGATTTCACAAGTGTTTGTAACACCTTTACCGATTCTAGGCTGAGGTCTTTCATTGAGGAACACGATCTTTGCGCTGTTTATAATATATGTCTGAACACAAGATATGTCTATATACTTCTGTATCTCATTCACTCTCACCACGTTATGGTACGAAGATCTTCGTATCTGCAATTTTATTTACAATTCAATCAGAGATTTTGAAGGTGGGAAAGACAAAGAAGAAGAAGAGAGATGGTGGACCTGAACAACACGATGGTCTCTATGTTTAACCAAACAGTAAGAGCAAAAGGCATTTCCAGCACAATCAAGACAGAACAAATTGCATTCGCTCTTGTTTGAATCGACATGGATCGAACAAGGGACGAAGTAGTTGCCTTTTAGCATTGGCATTAACCACTGTGGACTCATATAG